TGCACACTGGAGAAATCTTTCAACAATATAAAATATCAACAATGCACAATATATACAGACCATGCGTTGCTTGTGTGGAGAAAAATTACATTAATTTAAGCCATGATTTGGCTTGTGTTGCAATATTAATAAACCGTTTGTGCTAAGCTTTTGATAGAGAATGCCACAAAGAGATGTAAATATCTTATATATTGTGTTTATTTATTCTTTTTAATATTGACATCTATTTTGCTTCATTAGTATGTCATTTAATCAGGGGATTTTATGCCCCCTGTGTAATAACTGTATAAATATTCCCAAAGCTGCTTTATTAATTATTCTACCTCAACAGGAGGTGATTCACTTGCATTTGTGCCTGTAGCACTGGAGGTTTCATTATAGTTTATGCCAGTTCATTGATGCTCATATAGTCCAGTTTATTCACTGCTGTTACAATGAGTTTATGTGGTTATTGTTTTATTTTTGGAGGAATTGGTCTTGCTTCATTAAAATTACCTTTTTTGTTCAGAAACATCTGTGCATCTTATGCGTTGGGAACATTTGACACACTTACACAAAATATATTATTCAATTTATGCAAATGACTGTTGGAAACTAGACAGTGTGTAGAAGTGTTTCTGACATAATGAAAAGTAAAGCTTTTGTTTGTTAGTATGCAGTGTCCTGAGAATCTCAACCACCATAGGATTAATAGTGTATATTTAACAGTGCTAAATGCAAACTAAATCATATGATAAAAATGTAATACTCTACACTTAAATCATCTCATATTATTGCATCTTATGTCTTTGTAAATATGTATCATCCTGCTGTAAATAAAAGTAAAAAATGTGAAAGCACTTTCAGTGAAGTTATTTTATTAAACAATATACATGAGAATGAAAAAGGTTTTGTGTTGAGTACAGCTTTGTAACTGTGTGGGTAATACCAGAACAGAGCTTAAACGAACTTTAGCTCCTTTTCCACCGCATGATACCAGCTCAACTCGCTTCGCCTTTACACATAACAGCACTCTGACGTGACAACACTGCAGACCACTGGTCAGAGAGAATCGTCACTATTCACTGCATCAACATTGCGTGCACCAGACAGAGGCCAGCAACAGAAAGTTTTATATTTATATATGAAATGTTTTACTTAAATCAAGAGACAGTGGGGGGGTGTGGGTCGCGTTGAACATTACGTCGCGGTAGTTGCGTTGCTATGACGTCCAGCTACATTGAGGGGTACTATCTCTGGGGACAATGCATAACTAAGGACAGCGGGCTAAAACCGAGTTGATTCAAGGCGAGTAGAGCTGGTACCAGTAATGGAAAAGAGGCTATAATGTTCCTCTCAAAAACAAACCACACATCCTTTTCACATCATTTAATCTGAGAGGTAGGTACACACACAAAAAGCTTCTGATGATTGCCTGAGGCTGGACGATATACACAAAACTTGCATTGTTAAGAGTCATGATTATGAACCAACTGGACCACGGTCAAAACGACCATCACCTGCAATTAAACTGTAAATGATTCACACAATGATATTGCTTTTGTTCCTTGCACTGCTGCAAGCTTATAACGGCCGTCACAATCATAGTTCATCCTGCTTCACTTCAGGCCTTCAGGTTCCTCCAGGCCAGAGTGTGTGAGCAGCTCCCCGTCCCAAAGTCCAAACGCGGGGCAGAGGGGACCCTTGAACTGGACACTGATGGTGTGAATGATCGCCGGTTTTTCGATGTCTACCAGCCCCAAAAGGCCTGCTTCGTAGTCGAGCAAGATGCCTACGCGGTCCGGCTTGCCCACCACCATCAAGGGAACTATCTTATTGCTGGTCATGGTAAACCACTTGCGCTGAGCGTAGCCGAACACCCAGGAGGAGCTGTTGGTGCCCACGCAGTCATCTCGGGACATTAGTGCCTCAGCCACACCCAGACGAAACTCTTGAGACTTTTTAACAGTCACCTCCCAGTAGTGCCGTCCGCTGCTGATCTTCTTGTCGCCAAACACAACGGCCCAGTAACGGAAACGCTCAGGGGTGTCTTGTGCATGGCTGGGGTCCAGACCCAGCATGCGGTAGATGACGGCAGTGTCTTTCTTGAAGAGGTCTAGACTGCTGTGAGCCGTTCGCTCATCAAGCCTGAACTGAAGATCTACAGAGAATAAGAAGAAACATTTGGTATTTAATAATGAAAACCTCACTGGTGTCTCCATTAGCATCCAAATCTGGCTCTATGCTTGTGACAAGAGTTTAATAAATCCTTTTCACTGCAGACATTTTGACTTATGAATCACAGGTGTGACAACATTTATTGCTGCTTTGGATTGCTGGAAATTACTGTTATTATTATCAACTGTGCTTTTACTGCTATGCAGGAATTACAAAAAGTCTACTGTAAAAAAGGCCCCATCTTGGACTTTTACTATTTTAACTTCACCTAAAGTATTAATGAGCAATAGACAGATTAATCAATCAGCCGATTAATGGGGCTGATTTCTGCCATTTTGAGATAATTGCATCGGCCCATACCTGCATTCACAAGGTCCAAATATCATCCTAAATGACAGCAAATCATAACTAAAACCATTTCTAGCCAGCATTAAATATATATTGTTATACTGTAGAGAATAATGCAGTTGAATGACGTCACTTTTTATAAACTGTGCCCCGCTCTCCCTTAAACACTAGTCACATTCTAATTCATTAATTAATTTAAAAAAATAATCTAAAACAACATGTTACTGGCTAAGATAACCATGTATTAGATTGTACTCTTCGTGGAATAATGGAATTATACATGAGTTTTCTTTGTTTTGATATCGGTATTATATATCGGCCATCATCTGTCCTGCTCTCTAAATATCGCCATTGGCCATTAAAAAAAACATATTGGTCATCTACTAGTATTAATTGTTCAATTACAATTGTTTATGTTTTAAATATCTGTTTTATTTGTGTATTTAAAACAAATCCTTTCTACTATTGTTCCTATTTATTGCATATGCCTGTGTTGTGCATCTTTATGTATGAAATGCTATATTAATACAGTGTTATTATTATTATTATTTAGGAAATTGCGATGGGCATTTTTCTCTATTTTCAGATATTATATAGACTAACTGCCGAAAAACAAAAGAAATCTTCAATTGCAGCCATAATCAATATTTAGGTTAGCAAGAGTTAGTAAAATGACATGTCAATTACAAGATGGACAGGCTTTTGACAGGAAAGAAAAGAACAACATAAAGCAACCTATCTTGCTCTCCTGTTTACTGTCAATATAGCAGAAGAGCTTTGTGTCCTTCATGGGTAAAAATAAATTTTGGTTCAAAGGCAAAGTTTATCATGCATTTTCATTTGCTCAACGGAAACAAATGCAAAACTACTGAAGGAAAATGCAGCTGATGTTCTTGATCATGTTATTTTCATATTGTGTTCCTAGTTGTTTTGAGTCCACTGTAGTCCTTCCCAACAAGCAATAGCCGTCATTTCACCGTCTAGGTTTACTATAGGCCTGATTTAGTCCGGCTATGAGTTAACCCACCTCTAGCCGCAATAACTTTACATGTGGTTACATGACGTTTCTGCCAAAAACTTGCTATGTGTATGACATTCCATCATTTAAGCAAGGTCAGTGATTCAAGTTTTTTGTTTCATTTCTTACACATGATTTACGTGCAGCCTGTGCGTAGACACGATTTAGCTCATAGACAGACCGGCTATTTGTAGCCCACTTTTAGTCAGAAAAGTCAAAAATGATTAAAAGTGGGTTTTTGCCCTGGCAGCACATGAGATGGTTGATATCCCATTATTTTTGCAATATCAATAATATCTACAAGATATTAAGTGTCATTACATTGACATGGTCTATCTGTAGCCATGATTTAGCTCTTATTTATTGAGTCTGCTTTTAGCCCACCCGGCGAAATAGAGGCGATTAGTGGTCTAATATCAACGGCTTGGCTGTAGCCCTGTTTCAGACCAAATTGGTTACATGTAGTTTTCACCCGATGCAGCTGTTGAGGTGCGTGATATCATTTCATCAAATGCAAGTAAACGTTTGAAACATTGAAATTATCTTTATTTTCGCTGTTACGTTCACTACATTAACTAACAAACTAACAAAATGCAGTTACTATTTTCAACCGCTAGATGGCAGCTGTAGCCCTACTGACACATGACTACTGGCAACGCGAGACTTGAAAGTTAGACATCAGCAGAGCCCTTTAAAGGAGAAGGGTCCAGCTGCAGCCCGCATACAAACCATAGACTGTATATAAAAACCAGACAAACGTGACGGAAGTTGAATTTCCATATATGGGTTGTCACAGAAGCCACCGCGCACAAAACGTGATGACGTTTGTCTCGACCGCTCGGCCCACGCATAGTTGTTAAATAGAAAAAGAGCCGTTAAAAAAGAGGTGTCAACGTAGTAATCAGTGTACATTGGTTAATATTTAATATGCTATAATTATATATTATTAATTATAATATTATTAATTAGACTATATGTCCTGCAAATACTTATTTATAATAGCCTAATGATAATAATAAAGCAATGTTTCAATTCATACCACTGTTGTATATTTTATTTCTTCCAAAGTGATTTTAAGTTTCACAAACCAAGAATATTCTGTAATGTTACATCACGAGCCAGATGTGTCTCGATTTAGGTTCAAACTTAACATTACTGAGAATTTATTGACAGAATAACAGCGGTACGAACATTATCAGCTGTTGCTGGACACGTCTGCTGTGGTGGCTGCAGTGGTCTGTGTGACTGGGCCTGGGGGAGCTAACCGCAGCTAGCTAGCTATTCCTGACAGCCCCCCGAAGCATATTCCTCTTACCCCAACCAGGGTATGTGCCTAAAGTTATTGATTATATGCATGTCGACCGGTTAACCCTACAGCGGCGCACATCGGCCGAGCAGATAGGGATATCCTCCATTGTGTTGATGTGCAGCCTCCGGTAAAGTTACTGCAGCTATATAACACCCATCGGCACCGGTCGGCACTTACGGAGCTTCTGTTTGTTTGAAAACATTTTCGATTCGTTGCCAATTTTCATAAAACTGCCAATATTTGAAATCTACACAGTTGATTTCTCGCCTAAAAACTTCTGAGAAGTGTATTTAAAGTTCTGTTGTTGGCTTCTAAAGAATAAAATGGTTTGCGAGATGAACGTCATCACGTTTTGTGCGCGGTGTCTTCTGGGACAAGCCATATTTGGAAGGTCAACTTCCGTCACGTTTTTCTGCGGTCTGCGGGCTGCAGCTGGATATACTTGCTTTAAAGAATAAAGACATCCGCCTTTTTTAAACGAGGGATACGTTACGATTTCGGCCTTTCAGCGAGCAACGGGCGAGAGTTTACTGCAAACAGTGGAAGCGAAAAGACATTTACTTTGGTCTTGTAAGTATCTGTGTCTTTGTTTGACATGTCTTCATTATTTATCAACATTATATGTTAATGTGTAGGAACATTGTGGTTAGCTTAACATGCTGCATGCAAGTGTAACTTAACGTTACTGTAACGTTACTCCATGATACCCACGGGTTTCCTCGTGCCCTTACAAACTCTATTATCTGAATTCAGAAGGGGTGAACATAAAACATGTACAACCTTACCTATTATAATTTGTAATGAAAGCCACACATATTTTACTCACTAGATTATTATGATATGAAAATATGAGTTTTTGACTTTTGACACTAAATATTTATTGTAAATTCTCCAGCATACAGTCAGCAAAGACAACAATAAATATTCAGAACAGAACACTTACATTCACCACACATAGCTCTCTCAAAAGAATAAAAGCAACTTTCTCTATTTGGTTGTTCTAATGCAACATGGCTAAAACATGTGTCCTGTTCAAGTATCTTTATATTTTCCACAGAGATATAATATATACAGATATATATTTTTTTTTAACCTTCATTAGAATGATAATTACAAACATACTGTATGTTTTCATTTAAAATCATTTGATGATAGTCATGTCTTATGGGAAAACAGTCAACATAGTCAAATTATAATGTTTACTTATATTCATATTCTTACATATTCAACAGTTATGGATCCCATTTACCTGAGAGGCTGGCACCAACCGAGAGACCCATGTGATGCTCTTACTGCATCAAGTAGCAGCGTAGATGAAGACCTAGATTTGGATGTAGCCAACGAATTTATTTTATCATTATTTATGTTTTTATTACCGCATGTTGTTAAAATTGTTTGTATTTTCATAATATATATGAACTGTTTTGTATTTATAATATTTTAGCAATAATTCCTTTATATTTTCATTATGTTGTATTATCTTAAGTTGTCTACGTTGTAATCCTTTTTCTTAATAAAATCTTTATATATAACTTGTTTGGACGGATTACCATTTGCGAGAACCTGTTTTGTTTGAGTAGAAACAATCCTTTAGCCACTATTGTCTATTAGAGGTAGATATGTAGTCATTTAAAAGCTGTGTATTTGGTCTATTCTTGGGCTGTGGTTAGACGTCTATCAACTTTTCACTGACAGCCCAAATTCAGCCCTGTTTTAGCCTAAATGTCTGGGTTCTGTTTAGATGTCTATTAGACGTCTTTTAACCGTGAAATTGCGTGCTGGGTTGGATTGTCTGACCTGAGGTTTGTTTTGTTTTTACAGCTAAACTAAGATACGCTTGTTAGCACAAGGTAAAGAATTATCATTTCACTTTATTACTGGGATAGTTTCAACCACAGAACTTATGGCAGGAGCTGGTCTATATAATGTATAACAAATAGTGACTTGTATATCACTAAGGTACACTAAGATTTCTTGTTTTACTTTCGTTTTCTTTTTCCTTGCATTTTAAACTCGATTACTTTTTTCTTTTGAATTTAAAAAGCATGGACAGTCAAAACTACTGTTAAACTCTGTTACAAAGTCTGTTTCTATTTGTCCTACACAGAATTTCAACAAAGAAAGTGATAGAACGGATGAGTGACACATTTTAAATTTTATTTGAAATGGTCGAGATAAAAAGAGAGGACAGAAACTTAAAACAAAGTAGATAATTGCCAAACTAACATTCAATCTAATAAACACATTTTACAGCTCATTTCTGTCTTTAACAACTGTAGGAACAAGAAACTTCACTCCAGTTGACTTGCAGGTGACAATTAGTTTCTAGTAACCGTACAGTAACCACACACCTATGACACAGGTGTTATTTTTAAATGAATGCAGAAGTATTAAATTCTAATAATAGCAATAGTGTGGCTTAGTTAAAAAGCTCAATACATTGACATTGCTATCAGTCTTGCATAGTGTAGTGTACCATTAGTAATGATGATAGTAAGAAAGTAAGATTTGCTTTCTCACTGAGAGAGATGAGAAGATATATACCACACTCATGATACCATACTCTACATATAAAGCTAAAGCCAGGAGACACACGAGATTCTACAGCCTAAACACACAAGATAATGTTTTAATTAGCGACAAGCGATAAGTTTGTCTTGATTGATGATTACTGCCAGCCATTTATATTTTAACCATTTTCCATGACCATGATAAATAACAAAGATTTTATAGCCAAAATACAATATCCAACTCTAACTAGTCATGTGAAACCCAGAAAAAACTGTAAAATGTTTGTACACGTTGTTTGGTGGCTTTACGGGAAACACTGATGAGGCAAGTGGAGAAGTGGGAATGCCATAACCCTCACATGACACCCAACAAATCATCAGTAGTGGAAGAGTGGGGGATGGCCGATGTGTTCATTTCTGCAAAGGATAAAAGAATGGGTGATTACTCAACTGATAATGGCAATCACAAATTACATAAAATCCACAGAGATTAGTAATTTTAAAAGGGGACTAGGGCTGGAAGATTTGACCTAAAATCAAAATCCCGATTAAGTGAACATTTTACCGCGATTATAACTAATGAATGATTATTTAGTTTTTTTTGCCCTCCTAGTTCACTGACCAGGCTTGTACCACAAACATGCTCAACTATTGTAGGTGGGGTGGTTTTTAGACTCACAAATGTCAAAAAACGATTATGTAAATGTTAATTGATAAGATAATGTTGACGTGCACACAACAGACGTACTCCCCCTAAATTTGGAGTCACTGACTACACACACACACAGTTTTTTAAGGGGAAAGTACATAAAAACACACACTGGGGGACATTTTAACAGGAAATAAAACAACTAAATAACTGAAATTACTAAAATTACAGCCGTTAGAGCTCGGAATAGACTAACCATCTTTATTTAATGAGAATTCATAATACTTTTTAAAGGTCTACCTGACCCACAGCATCTATACTCTGCTGAGCTCCCCTTCAGACTGTACTAAATGAGACAAGTGCATGGCACTTCATCGGAGGTAGAAACTGAAACCAACACTGCCAATCAGGCAGACATCTCAACGCAGATCCTCATGTTAACTTCTGTAGCTCTGATAAAGTGAACTCACAGTCCTAAACAGAGCTAGATTGTGATTCCGGTTTTAGATGTTTATAATGCAAAACTCTACCAGTGACTTTGCTGGCTGCGTCTCAGCACGCAAGGGTTACTTTACTATTACGGCGTATGCTGAGTTGCATCAGCTGGGTGGAGAGGATTCTTGCCGCTAGTCGACATTATCAGAATATAGATTTGTTTTTCACTGCGTGAGAAGATTGATGTGTGGCGCTTAACGCTAGCCTACACAGCATGATTGAGAGGTCAACAAGCCGTTTGTGACTGAGAGAATCAATGGACCTGTACCGCGGGAACAGGTGAGCAGCCAGCCTCCTGTGTGAGTCCGGCGTAACTGTAGTAACAGCGTGAGAAGATGGCCTCCATTGTGGTCAGCGCTCGGTCGGTTCAGTTTGTCATTTGCTAAGTGATCGTAATAAATAAACACATAGGCCTACACCCCCCTGTCCATACTTTCACGGTTTTGTTGTTATATTATTATAATTAGACACACGACATTACAATTTAGCAACATCGAAATGAGACAGTTAATAGCGTTGTTCTGAGTTTTGTTGTGCCGTATAAGTAGAGGATGTTTACTATTGGTTTACTGCTTTACAGACTCAACTTTGGGGTGGGGGGGTGGGCTAATTATTTTGTGAAGATATGAAGTTTTATGGGCTGGGCTAAGCCCCCAGTGTTTCAAGATCCTAAAAATGCCCCTATTGCTGCAAAAGACTAGCACAGTGATTTATCTAAAATTTACCACAGTTAATGCCTCTCTGGCCATGGCACGTTCTTTGCAGCCACCTCCATGGTCAGAGGCCAGGTTGAACCAGCGGATGGCGTGCTGGTTAATCTCGTTGTCCGATGCGCTGCTAGCAGCTTGGTTCTTCTGTACAGCCTCTGTTAAGAGAGAAAGTCAATTGGTTGATGAGCTGTCATTAACAGACATTCTGAAAATTACCTCTAAGCCAAGCTAATAACCTACTTTTTTGAGAAATGCTTTAGAGGGTTGAAAAAAGTGCTCAATGCCCATGTTTACTATTGTTGGTGTGGCAGTAGACCTAATTTTCTATAGCATTTAATTTAGTAACTCAAAACAAATAGAATTTCACTCATGAATAACTAATTATAAAAAAATCATACCGATTACGAACAGAACAATTATCAAATCACATCTGGATTGTATTGGATCAGCCTTAAATCTCAGTGCATCTTATCATTACAAATTTATCTGTGTGGATTCTGTATCAGGTCATGGATAGGCATTGGCGGGTACCAACATTTCCCCAGTATCTCCAGGCAGAGGACATTTAGGGGAATCGTTTTACTGACGGCTCTTTCAGAGGTGTGTCAAGCAGACTACAGACTCTTTTTAATGTCGTTCAGAAATTTTCAAAGTAAAAGCTCTCAATTCAACTCCAAGTAAAACATTACAGCAAACAAGCTTCTCATGCTTTTATTTTGCTGGCAAACCTACAAAGAGGAAGTGATTATGTGAGTAACCGGTGATGTCATGTCTATTTTTTTTATTTTTATTTTTTGGCTTTAAAGTTGCATCCCTTATATCTTAAAATATACTATTTAAATATTTTATTTTACATAAAAATTCGTTCTCATCTACTAGTCACCTCCACATATAATACGTATACTAAAATACTTACTGATCAGCAAAGTTCTTGTCAGCATTTCTTTAAAATATTTCTTTTCCCTTTACTCCTTTCCAATTAATCTGTTTGGCCACTGTGTTTGAGAAAACCATTGAAAGAATATTCCAAGATTGAACAGTAAATACTATTAACAGAATGTTATCTGTGAAAGTTGCTAAAATAAGAATGAAAGAGCACTGTATGTAGATCAGTGGTGAAGTTACCAGTACAGCAGAGCTGACCGGAAGTCAGACAAAATGTAAAAAGTAGTCAAAACACACAAAACATTTTATACATTTGACAGTTATGTGTAACGTTACCTGTATCTATATAATCATATGAAAAGGACAACAAAAAATTAAGACCTTTGTAAATAAATGTAAGAGCCTTATTTTGAGAATATTAAATTCAATGAGTTTTTAAATTATTTTAAAGACCCAGTGGGTAAAGTTACCCTGCATGACAAATGACCCCAGGAGCTCAGCTCTGCTAATGTTACAGGTTTGCACTGCATTGTGATTTTGGAACAAACCCCAGTGGTAGTAACGTTATGTACAAAGCCAGCAACAAGAGAAAATGTGAGGCAAATTAAAAAGAATGAGTAATGGCGAATGTACCACTGCCAGCCATCTGTACTGATATCATGAACGTCATTGTAATTTTTAACTGTAAAATTTGATTAATTACTGAGAACCATCAGCCTCTAGACAAACATTTCTTACAGCTCCTGACAGAAATCTGAGGGTATACACTTGGTAAGCTTCACATAGCACACTATATCCCTCGGAAAACGCCCCAAATAAATATCCAGAATGAATCAGGAACTGCTCCTCAACCATAATACCGCGGTGTGATTTCATACAAAGTCAATGAAAAGACACGAAGAGAGGCGATTTCCTGCCCATAGACCTTATTTGTCATAATGAATTTACGTTTTTATTAATGTCAGATGAAAATTCCAACTTCTTTAGATGGCTTTGATTTTTTAAACACTTAACTTACCTATCATAACTTTATAACGTTATGCTCAACTATAGCCAAGATCAAATCAAAGCCGGAAAAAAATACTTACATTAACTTAACTTACCCTATTAATCCCGGGCTCTCAGCCAGGGGTGAAGAAAAGATTGAACCTAAAAATGAGACAGGTGCTGTCAATTGGTGCTGTTGGAAACTTACGTTACAACATCGTTGTAAGTTAACTAACGTTAACGTTAAACAGCATTAATGTTTTATGCTAGCTGCACACAAAGTTGTTTATTAATGCTAGCTAGCTTAGCTATCCGTTCATTCAGTTAATTTAGCTAGCCCAGCTAATAAGCTAGCGTTAGCCAATGCCTCTTCAACAGTTTTAGCCATTTTAAGAAGTTAAAACCCGGTCAAAACATTCCGATGTGATGATGTTAATGATGTTAACAAGCATTACACCACTATTAAAAACAATTAACTGTTTGACTGTAACATCGTTCAACTTACCGTTATAAACTCTTTCCACAAAGCTTCCAGTCCGAACTGATCCAAAGAAAGAAACAGTTCGCGCGCTCGTTCCGACGAGTCCGGGCCAGAACAACTACGATTCCGCCGCCTGACTTCTGCTCCGGTATGAACCGGTTCGAAAGAAAAAAAAAGAAACATTTCGCGCGCTCGTTCCGACGAGTCCGGGCCAGAACTGTTATGATTCCGCCGCCTGATGGAGGCTCACGCCCCCTCCTGAGTGCACACAGACTACATGCATGTATCTGGAACGGGGCAGTAAAACGGGCGTGACTGTTACACGGATCTGCCGGTTTGGAGGCGGATTCGGCCCTGAGTCAGCTGCTATCTGGAGGTTCTGCAATAATCAAGGAGGACATCAGGATTGCAGAGTCAAGTGGAAACTAATTTCTTTATTATTATCATCATCATCATCATCACCACTTAGAGACCAGCAAATAAAGTATGATGTCTGAAGATATTTAAGCTTGCTAGAAAATTAACTATACATCTATTATTCAACTAACCGCAATTTCATCGACGACCAGACACATAAAATTACTCTTATTCAAGAATATGCGAATACGCATGCGCATTTCAGACTGCAAAGCCAGCAAAGGCATCTGTTCAGAAAGATCTGACCACCGAAGAAACCTGCTGAACATTTTGTCGACTTTGTCAGCTTTTGCTTGCTTATTTATTTTGCCAGGAAGACGTGTTGACTAACTTCGCTTCTATAGCTGTAGCCAAGTTACCGAGTTTATCGTTGTGGCAGGAAGGGCAGGTTTTAACAGGGAAAGTCCTGGACAATAACAAACATTCGTCATGAGCTGTCAGACTCGCCTGTTCCTGGTGGGACACTGACCTCTGAGCTGCAGACTCAGAAGCTTACATCTCATTTGTTAACTTTTACAAAACTTTCACTCACTGTTCCCCGTCGAGGTGGATATGTAGCACCTCCTCGCTGGCAAACTGACCGACCGCTTCTGTCTGACTGACAGGGAGGTCACAGTCCATCCTGCCAGGCGACAAACACGAGCTGCACATGCGGGAATCGCCATGTTTTTCACTGCTGCTGCTTCTGCGTGTCATAAAGTAGCAGCGGCGCGCATCTGCTGCCCCCTGCAGGCCCGGAGAGAAACAACCCGCTAGACTATTGACACATGTTGACATAAGTCAGCACCATGGACAGCAGTAGCCAGCCTGTCAAAACCGGTCAAAACTCTAAAATCTCAATATGTGCAACTGTGTCGACTCTCAGTAAGTATTCCTGTTAAACCCCACTGACCCACAGCGATAGAGCTTTATTTAAAATTATAGTGGAGTAGATGTGATCCAAAGATACTAAATATATCTGACTGAATTTTGTGTGTATAAAATGATCCACAAGATTTCTGGATTTGATAGAGTGTAAAAAAAAAACATGTCTTGAGTTTCAATATTTCACTCTGTCGATTGTATATTCACAAAATTTTCACATCTAACTCTGTGAATTTAGGCTTTATTTTGACTAAATCATTTCAAATTGGTTCTCATGTTTCAATTTGCAGCGCCACCTGTTAAATTGCCTCTCAAGCTGTCTTCTGAATATGGTTAACAGTTGAAAACATTCATTAGAAATTAGAAAACTAATCAAAAGGTAATTAAATGTAATAGGTTACATTAATTTGATAAAGTAAGTGAAATAGTTACACTGCTTCTAAATTTTATATAGAGTAACTTGTAATTGTTAACCTGTTACATTTCCAAAGTAACCTTCCACTGGTTAGCACTAAATAATGACAAAACAACTGTAATACAAGAGTATTTAGAGATAATGTTGCGTCAAGGGCTTTTGAGGAGTAGATAAAAGATGCCTGTGACACGTATTTGACAAAATTGTGGATGTAACAATGTCAGTTCAACTGTTGGAGGATCATGGCAGTTGCTACTAGCAACATAATGTTCAACTCAAACCATCTGCTGGTGGCAGAAAAAACTGATTACTCCATCTGTCCAGGGAACCTAATTATAAAAGTAATGTGATCTAATTAGTAAATTATACAGACCTGTAAAATAAAGTTTTAATGTTTGATTTCCCAACATAAATGAAGTTTCAAGGCTCTCACCACACTGCCAGATGTTATGTTTTGATGAAGTTCAAGTTTCAAGTTCAAGTTTATTTATATAGCACATTTAAAAACAACACTAGTTGACCAAAGTGCTTTCCACAATGAAGAAATGCTGAATCCTTCATTTGTGTATTTATTTACAGTTTTTTTTACAACTGCTTACACACAATTTCAAAACTCTACAGAAAATTCCCAAAACTGCACACACAAAATGCAAACTGTCTCATATCTCCTTCAAAATGATATGATATGATATGATATACCATGTACACACTGTTCTAAATCTAAAGCTCTTTTGTCTCTCATAGGCTTATGTGTACATTTCCAGTGAAAGTAATCTGCTGCAGTTTAAAAGTACACTGTAAACACCAATGCAATGTTGAAACAGAATTTTTATTTGGCAAAACATTACTATTGTATACATTAGCATACAGGGAAACAAAACCATAAACATATATAAACCACAAGTATCATTTTTAGAATAAAGAATACATGATCAATAAGTGTGGCCCTGATCTCATCAGAGATGGCTCTCCTTCCTTCTCGTCTTTCTTTCCGACAAAATGTAGCAAAACATTTATTTTAGTGGAAATGGTGGTGCCTTGAACACACCGTTGTGTATGCACGTGTGCTGATTTTTACTCCCTTTTTAACACCACTGTTTTTACAAACTTGTCGCAGCTGATTGGGTAACACCTGTGACACGCCCAACAAACGAGAGAAAACGTACCTCAAAGCCCGTTTTACAATGTTGCACACTGTTTCGAGGAAACATTTCGTTCAATCAGAAAACGTTGCAAAACGCTTTGAGATTGAATTCCCCCTTGATGAATAAGAGTAGCATTTTGATTGGTCGTGTTTGGAAAATTAAAGCAAGTTACCTCCTGTTAAATTGTTGTGTCTTAGGTAGTGGTTGTGTGTAGTGTTTTAAAAAAGTGTACAGTAGTCAGACATATTGAGTCTAAAAATACTGGGATCTGCCTAAAGAATTTCTCACCACATGTAAGTACATTGGAAACTGAAACCCCCCACTAATAAAAACAGAAAACAAACTGAGCACAGTGGCATATGGCTGCATAATTTCATTTTAAAAACTCAAACGAGTAGATGTTCGCCATTTGGCTGTTAACAAAAAGCAATTGGGATCCATACTAAGTGCCTGCTTCAAATGGGAGGATTGTGGGTTAGGACAGTTGTTGAATACTTAAACTTCAAACCCATATTTGGATTTGATAACAAAAAAGTAGCTTTTTGGTCTCTGCGATATCATTACAACTGTTTGTTACCCTACAGCCGTGGTGGAGGATGTATTTAGATCATTCACTACTCATCATTATACAACACAACACAACACAACACAATATCACACGGTCATGTGTCTAAAACTTTACATCATACATATATCAAATGTCATGCACATTTCTGCATTAGTTATAGCTGTTTATGCTGGATTTGAGAGAAGAACAGCCCCTGGGCACAGTGGCGAATGTAGTAAGACTTTTAATGTCACGGATAAAAATCTTTTTTCATACTGGTGCATTTAAGATTTCAAACTAATGCAACTTTCATGACAAGTAATAAATATTTTGTCATATTAACAAAGCTTGATTCAGCCTCGTTGCACAGCCACATCCATTCCCCATCCAGCTGGGGACTAAATGTCATTGTTTATTCATGATCCAATCTAAACACAGCACATATCATTATTTTCCTTTGTGGTAATTGATAATGACTTTGTTTTGGAGAGTAGCTGTTCAGAAAACCCTTACCCCCTCCCGCTTCTAATAGGGTACTAGGGCTCATAATCAGAGTATGTGTGGTGAAGTCAGACCCTCTCCTTTCAAATATTTTTCACTCTTTATCAAATTCAAGTCTGATTTGAATTAATTCAGAATGTTGAATGCTGATTTTTTGTCTTAGTCCTGAAATATTTTTATTCTGGTTCAACCATGTAAAGCACTTTGTGACTTTTGTTTTTGAAAAGTGCTGTATTTTTTAAAAAGTGTGTATTTTTTATTATTATTGTAAGGGAATAAGATAAAACGCTGTTTGCATGTTATTAAACTTTCATGACATATACACTACAAAAACAGACAGCACTACAGTGTACTGTACAAAATTACTATTCTACATGATCTGCAAAAAAAATGTAACTGAAACAATTAGTTAAGTAATTGATTAGTTGAAAGTAAAAATGTATCTGCAATACTGATCGGATTAATCATTTAAGTCTTCTGCTGACAGCTTCTTAAATGTGAAGATTTTTTTTTCTTCTATAACAGTAAACTGGTTAACTTTAAGGTTTAGTCTGTTGGTTGGACAAAAAAAGCTGTTTAAATATGTTAATTTGTGCTCCGGGAAGCTGGGATGGCCATTTTTCACTTTTAATTTCATGGACCAAATTTAATAGATCTTTTTAGACATTTAATAAACCAAACAATTAATTAAGCAAATAATCAGATTAAATTAACTGTAAGTGGCAGCCCTATTAAAAATATAAGATGAGATCTATTTTAATAATGCAATGGTAATAATGAGAAACATAGAAGAAAACAGATTAAATAAAAATCAAATAGAAGAGACAGACTTTGAAGGAGCACAGTGCAGTTTCATGTGTTGTTTTTCACTCGGGCTATTAAATGATGATCTGAAATACTTGATTCAATGGGGATATAATTAAAATAAATACTAAATTATGTATTTGAGTTTTATTTCATGTTTATACTGTGGGACCTTTTTACTGTCAGTCTTTTTACTCTGGGTTACCAGGTTTGCCTAGGTCCACCAGTGACTGGTATAGTGGTCACTCAGACTGTGTTTCGTTAAAGGGCACATGAAGTTCAGTTTACTCATAAGTCTTCTGAAGCTCTGAAGGGAGCTTTTCCAAAAGAGAAATTAACCCTGATGATGTCATAATGATGTCATCAGGGTTGAACTCAGAGACTACAGAGCTTGAGGAACTGAAATGGGGTAGGGTAGCCTATAGGGTGTGAAAGACGCAGGTCTTTACCACGCTGCAGGGTGAAACCAGACCTTCCTGGTTAGTTCCAGAAGTTCAAAAAGCTCATTCAAAATCACTTTTGGTTTTATGGATATGCACGAAACCAAGTTACAATGACATAAGCACCCGCACTGTAAAATTTTCCTGTGAGTTGTAGTTTTTGTATGTTCACAAAGTAACCATTGTTTAACTTGTTAAAATCACAAAAGCAGCATTTCCAATAGCAACTTCTGTATATTAGATATACAGATAAACAGTTTTTCTTCTGATTTTTTTCAGAAAGGCCAATGAAATTAATACTGAATGAGAGATGCACTGAGTTATGGAAATGGGACAGAGGCTAGCCCCAACATGACATCATGACTTACAGTAGGTTCAAGTTGCATTCTGGGAAATGTAGGAAATCCAGCATTTTTTAAGCTTGCCTCAAAATTGGAAGACTACAAGTCAGGATATGTCTGTCTCTGCTGCTTCAGTTTTGACCTTTATTTTATTAATCTGCCCAACTTTATGGAAGTGCAATACTAAATTGCTGTATCCTACCCCTTTAATGTCCTGCTCAATTTAACACTGTTTAGATAACAAAAAACGTTGACATTAACATGTCATGGTGTTGGTTTTTGGATTGTTTAATGCGCTACCCATCTTTTTCCTCTTTACTCCATAAAGATGCTTTACAAACAGGACGTTTTAAGTCCTACCTACCACATAGCCTACTTCTCTCTCTCTCTCTCTCTTTTCTCTCTCTCTCTCTCTCTCTCTCTCTCTCTGGCTGCGGTCCTGTGTGGTGAAGATGTGAAACTAACTCACAGGTGAACAGCAGAGCGTCAGTCCGCTCTCCTCTCCTCTCCTTTCCCCTCCTCTCCTCTCCTCTCCCGTCTGCTGCCAGGCAGACACAAACGAGAGCGGAGGAAAGCTCACGACTCACCGCCGACCAGAAGAACTAACCGTCTGACTCCCAAACCCCGTTTTTCAGATTCCCGAGCAGAAAAAAATCTCCGGAGTTGACCTGAAAATCTGCGGATTGAAGAGGACAAGCGTAAAGCCGAGCTACAAAGGAACTCTTAATAAATGAGCTGAAGTGTCAAAAGGATTTCTTTCTCTTTTCGGTTTACTCTTGTTGGCGTGCAGGAATGATGCGTGCTTCACTGGACTTATAACCGACCAGGCTGATGAAACACTTTGTTAACCCATTTTTTCCTTTGCTTTACTGCAACCCACTGAACCCGCAAAACATCACTGTGCTGTGGTGATGGACCTTCGTGTTGACATCTTGGTTACGCACGCTTTTGAGTCGCCCTGATTTATTGCTTATGTGAAATGCATTACTTCTGCTCGCAATTCCTGCTCGTCTGACTTTTTATTAAAGAGCGGCAGATGCTCAAAATGTCTTTCCATCAGTCTGCATAAGGGATGGCGACCAAACTGCACCAAATCCGAGAGTGGCTATCTACACCTTTGCACCTGTTCGGGTGGATAACGACAGTTTGTGCCACAGGTGAATGAACATCGGCTCAGGTTTGCGAGTGTTTTTAAGCTGTTTTCTGACTCTGGTAATCAAGCTCGAGCTTTGTTGCACAGTGACAATGGATCTCAAAGTAGATACCGAAGAAATAGACGCAAATCAACCTCCACCCATAGAAGTTTTTGCGCACAGCTCGACGCTGCACGGGATCTCTCACATTTTCACGTACGAGCGGTTCTGCATCAAGCGCTGTCTGTGGGTCGTGTTTTTCTTGGGCTCTCTGACCTTCTTGCTGTACGTGTGCGTGGACCGGATCCACTTCTACCTCGAGTACCCGCACGTCACCAAACTGGATGAGGTGACGACCCCGATCATGACGTTCCCCGCGGTCACCTTTTGCAACCTGAACGCGTTCCGCTTCAGCCGGGTGACGCGCAATGACCTTTACCACGCAGGGGAGCTGCTAGCCCTGCTCAACCAGAGGTAATCAGTAATCACCAGGATAATAAGCATGTTTTCTTTTATTTGGCTTTTATTTATTCTTTGTCATCTGGATTTTATATATCAAATAACTCATTCATAGAAACTTTCCATCCTTTCCACCTGTCATAATACACAAATAAGTTGTAAATTGCAAATGTCAGTGGTGGAATATAACTAACTACTTAAGTACAAACTTGAGGTACATGTACTGTCCTTCAGTATTCCCATTATATGCCACTTTATACTATACTTCACTACAATTCAGCTGTCATTCATTCATTTGTCAGCTGCAGTTATTAGATACTATATGAAGATTTAAATAGGTAGGCCTACAAAACAATCTAAAATGTAAAAAATTACAAAGTAACAGTAAAATGCTTATACGTTATTGCAACACTCAAAGGGGCCAATTTCTGCCTTTTTTTATAATTTAAGTACTACATTTTGCTAATAATCCTTTATTGTGCAAAATGCAGGATGTTTACTTGTACATTTTTGCATGTACATGTACTTTTACAGTCTTCCTTTATTTAAGTAAATGATATGAATAGCCTACTTCTTCCACCACTGGCAGTTGCATCTTACCCATCCAAAAGGCTCTAATAGTTTTTACCTTGTTGAGTCATTCAGTGCTTGGAGAGCAAGGCTTGTCAGGCTTGAATTAACTGAAGCATTATAATCAGAGAACACCAGCCGTCTTGTCGGTGCAGCTGAAAGCTCTGGATACTGTAGCTGGCAACAGCACATACTGTAAGCACATGAGGAATCGATGCAGAGAGTCTGCTTCCTTTGATTACAAGTGAAATGGCAGAGTGTTCTGGGTATTTTTGTCATTTATATGTTTAAATCCTTATGTCTCTGAAACTTCAACAGAGCTGCAAAGAAACTCCACTCCTGCATACTAAATCCACTTTTTTTCTGAGCTGTCAAAGATTTTGCTCCTCTGGGTAGGGAAAAAACGAACAGTTCTGAATGAGTAGCACATTTTCAGTGATTAAGATCATGCACGGGGCTGTCCAAGACGCACAGAAAGAAGAAAGATCTCACAGAGAGAAAGAGAGAGAGAGAGACTGTGACTAAGACTGGATTTGAAAGCTGTGTGGTGAACATGTTGCTTTCCCTGTGGTGTTGTAATTTTGTTCCAAATGCCAACACAGGCAGCGATAATGAAACAAATCAGCCAGACCGTGTCATTCACTGTAACTTAGAAGAGGATGACCACTGTCTGTCATCTGAGTGATCAAAAGCATTTTTTGAAAAGTGTAAAAACTCACAGCTCAAAGGGTGTGAAACCTCTGACAGGCTGTCAGTGAAAGAGATCAAGGACAAGGATACAGTGCTAAAGGCCTCTGGTGACTTTACTTTTATGTGGGTATACAGCCAAATTCTACCCTAAATCTTTAATGAAGATCCCAAACTAAACACCAAAATATGCATTTTTTTTCCGCGACGCCTGCGTATGACTGATAATCAAAAATTTTAATTTGGATTTTATTTTTATTTTTTACATGAATCCATCTGCTAATCTCACATTTCCAGGCACCGGTTCACAGGGAAGCGTTCTCAAACTTGGAGACCAAAGTATAAAGGGGGCTGATTTTCCTGCTAAGTTTCCTTCTTCATGCACTCATCTCTACTCTTACTCTGTGCTCATTATCCTGCCTCCCTTGGCAAGGTAGAGAGGCGATGAATGGCACACTTAGCTGTTACACCCCTGGCCAGAAATGAAAGTGCTTGGGGCCTGAAATCCATTTGAGGCAGTTCTCCGCCCACTTCCCGTGTTTGGAGTCACTGGCGTGGGAAATGTCTTGTGGCGTGATATTTAAGCAGCACACATGCTGAAGTGTCGGCCTTCGCCGATCTTGTCAGATTGGTCTTATGGGATTTTATCTCATAAGTGCCTTCTTGGCAGGTTTGTCCACTACACAAACAGTGGAGAGCGAGAGCCTCTCCTCAATTAAGTTCTCTTTCAATCAAACAAAAACACTCTGCCATAATGGGGCTCACGCTAATCTTAATGTCACAAAAAATTTACTAATTTTTAAACCTGAATGAGGCTAGTTTTTGATTTAATGTTTGGAAGATTTCAATTAGTATGTAAATTGTCCCTTTGCCCTACACAAGGATTACTGCACCTAGTTCCAAGGTTTAAATGAAATGTAATAGGGTTATGTGTATGTATGTTGCTGTAATTACACACCGTACATTACTGGCTCCAGTGAATCTCATTCTCATTCATGCAATAAAAACACATGCGGTGTATCAATAAGATCAATAAAAGACCATATTCACATATAAGAGTGGCTACATTCATTTGAGACATTTCTAAAAAGGCATTTTATTTGAGGCAGTGTTCTGAGAAAAAAAAACTCCAAGCAATCTGCTCTTTGGTGAGTCCATTAAAATGGTGACATTTTTAATAATAGCACAGTGGGGGATCACAGCGAGGGTAGAGAGTTGGTGCATTTACAGCTATTCTGCTCTCTTTTAATACAAGGCAGCATGGTCAGGTTTTTGTGTGCTCCATTAAATGAAAGAAAATTTCCCAGTGCCCCGACAATGCTGTGTGTGATGTGGGTTATTGGCTACTAGACTATGACTGGTGGTACAGACTAAATGAAATATCACAGAAATGTAAATGAATACCGAGCTATCAATAATGTGGTGATATCTTGGGCTTAGCTACGGAGATGTTAACATGCAAGAAAATCATTGATAAATTACGATTAGTGAGACATTTAGTATTCATTTCATTGAACAAGCTAATAAACATTGTATCACTTCACCATAATCTGCTATATGCTCACAATGACAATGTAAATGTTTACCATGTTTACCATCTTAGTTTAGCATGTTAGCATGCTAACATTTGCTAATTAGCTTAAAGCGGCTATAATCTAAATTCTTTTCAATGGATCACAATCTGATAATGTGAAAGGGGTCACTCATTTATGAACCTACAGATACTTATCAACCGAATCTGCACTCGGAATTTACAGCTTTAAAGAGAGGCTCTGCTCATTGTTGAGCCGCAACTTCACTGTAGGGTTCCCTCTCACCACTCTGAGTGTCGTTATCAGCTGCAGCAGGCAGCTGTTAACAGTGAAAATATCCTAAAAATCACCCTGCACTACCTGCCCAGCACTTAATGGCAGATAGACCCAGTTACCTACTAGAGTCCCTTTTCCACTGCATGGTACCAGCTTGACTCACCTCAACTGTCTCTACTCGCGTTTTTGTGGTTTTCCATTGCTACTGGGTACTTTTTGTATCACCTCCGTCAAGGTTCCAAGCGAGCTGAGGCGATACTAAAATGTGACGTGAAAACACAGCAGACTACTGATTGGTCAGAGAGAATCGTCACTATTCACCGCTTCATCATTGCACGTGCCAGACAGAGGCCAGCAACAGAAAGTTTTATGTTTTACAGTTTTCATAAGTTATTTCATCACTAAATCCACTTCTGAGAAGTTTTGAGGTGAGAAATAAACTGTGTCGATTTTTTACGGAAAGTGATGACGGAAAAATGTGCTTGAAAGTTTTCGGAGTTGAGGAGCTCCACAAGTGGCGGTGGGGGAAGTCTTTTGCAACCCGTGGGAGGAGCTCGAGGCCGGCCAGCCGCCCGCTCACAGAGCCCTCTAGTCCTACTGTCACACAGACCGCTGCAGGATCAACGGCAGAGGAAAACGCAGCTGGAAGGTTTTCATACCGCTTATCTGTCTTTACATTCTGAGTGATGTTCAAACGTTTTAACTTAAATCAAGAGACAGCTGTTTGTGGGTCGCTGGTGTGTGTGTCGCATTGAACATTACATCGCGGCAGTTGTGTGTGGTGTTGCTATGACGACTAGCTTCACTGAGGGTTACTATCTCTCTACTATCTGCAATGGAAAATGGAGGACGACCAAACCGAGTCGAGTAGAGTGGAGTCGAGTTGAGCTGGTACCATAGACTGTATATAAAAAGGCTGGTACTGGTAATGGAAAAACGGCATAGCTGGTGAAATTAGTGGAGGATTTCTCCCTCAGGAATTGGTGGAGACCAAAGACAGAGCTAAAAGAGAGTGTATATTGGACTTGAAACACAACTCCCACTGAATGAAAATGTTGCTCTGTAATTGCCCTTTCAGACATAAAGTGATGTGTGTTGTGCTAGCCGCTGGGTATATACTGTATATTGCCTACCTACAACAAGCTTCCTGACTTAAAACACGCCTGACATGACTACTTAAATGGAAATATGTTTGATGTCTCTGTATGAATACAAACTTTTGTCATGACACACGATATTAACTGTTAACTGTTCCTGTTCATGCTTGGCTGGATGGCCTAACCCCACACGCATGCGCAAAACAGATCCGGCAGGCGGCACGAATCGGCCAACCACAGTGTCTGCACCAAATCTCAATGTTAACCTCATAGTGGCGCTGGTGGAAAAGTCAACTTATTAGAAGACATTGTCTAGGTTTTTTTCATCGTCATAAGATTTTTGTCAGGATAATGGTGCTTTCAGACCAAACGCGAATTTATTCCTCGCAACGCTTTCCTCGTGTGAGTACAATCGCTGCAAGTGTTCATACACAACGCAAGTAGGCGATTAGAACCCGCGGAAATTTGCTCGAGTTGGAAATTTTCAACTCACGTGAAGGCCTTCGCGTTGCCTTCGCATCGCTGGCACCACCCCCTTCACGTCGCTTCACGCCGCCCAACATAAAATCGCGGCTCTACGCATCTTTGCATTGACTTTGTATGTAAACTCACCGCAACAAACGCTCGCTTCGCTTTTGGTCTGAAAGCACAGTAAGCGAAAACTTCAACATGCAAAAAACCTGCAATCCATCAAGTAGTTGCCGAGATACTTCAGCCTGGACCAAAGAGGTGGACTGACATCCCTAAACACGGTAAAAATCTGATAAAAAACAATAAATTAACATAAAGAAGGACATCTAATGCTGTTCTCATGTACTCTTATGGAGTTTGATCAACGTAAAGCACACCTTATTTCATGTAAATCTCTCTTTCTTGTGTATTGGAAAAAAGTGACGGGCAGAATTAACTGACTTAGGCAAAAATAATGAGCAGAGATACTGATAAGGAGTGAATTCATTCAAAGTCAAAAGTAACATGATTCCTCAAAAAAACTCTTTCAGAATTCCCTTTCTTCTTGCCATACATTTAATATTTTAGTCAGACTTTCTTTTAAGGGGGACTATCAGTCACTTTCAGAATTCTCATGGCCAAAACTATCCAATAAACACAAACACATTTTCTCCAAGCTTAAATCCAGATAACTGAGACTCGAGTTGAAGTGTTGCCTGGAGCTGCTGCATAGACAGCGAATGGAAGACTGGCTTTATGTGTACGTACAGCTCTTGTCTGAACTTTATTATGTACTGTACAATAAACCGTTACACTCTGGTAGTGCTATCAGTTCAGAGCCAGAAAAAGCCAACGAAAAACCATCTTGTACATTTTCAGTCTCTTTTGATGGATTCATGATTGTATACTTTGTAGACTCATAAACCTTTCCTGAAGTGTGCAAAGAATGTTGAAATTCACTTTTTATGGAGTCTACTTTATCATCAGGCAGTGATTATTCTGTGACGGCGTTTAACAGAAATTCATCAATCCATACCAAACTAACTAAACTTTGAAATGTGTGAAATATTTCCTTGACCTCTTTCTTTTCTGTCTGTTTTTCCAGGTATGAGATCAGGGACATACATCTTGTGGAGGAAAGCGTTTTGGAGAGCCTAAAGGTAAAGGCAGATTTCCATAATTTCAAGCCGCGACCCTTCAACATGCGGGAATTCTACGACCGCACCGGTCACGACATCAACGACATGCTGCTCTCCTGCCACTTTCACGGCACCGAGTGCAGAGCGGAGGACTTCAAAGTGGTAAGTTGTCTCCCAAGACGATTTGATCTGATCATGAATAAAGGAAAGTGATATTATTTGTTTATGTTATTGTCAAGAAATCCCTTTAAAACATACTGAAACCAACACTGAATCGATCCTGTTGTCTGTGAAGCCAAAGGCTGCTATAGTGTTTCCTCTTATTGCTTGATACGCTAAGTTACACTCTTTTTATTTACTGTTAGTGATTTAAGAAATCCATCCCGTTATAACAGTTACAAACATTTGAAAGTTTGTATTCCACTTAGAAAAAGGAAGCTAGTTAGCCTATCTTACTAACGTTAGCACTGATTTCCACTAGGCGCTACTTTTTGTTCATGTTATTTCAACACCTGCTGAGCCATTAACAGCTCCTGTAAACTCACAGTGTTGTGTTCATCCCGCATTACACTAGCTAGCATTAGCTGTCTCACTTTCATGAATTCAGTTGAGGTGTATTGAATTGACTCATGGAGTATAACTCTGGGACGATGCCGGTTAAATGCCTGTGCGACCACTGGAATTGAATCCGCCTGAAATGAACACACTATTTAATCCACTTTTAGTAATGTTTGCTAAAAATGATTGTGCCTGTGAAATTATTACCTATATTTTTTTTTGTCCTATATCTAAAGACTTTTGTCTTCAGTAGGAACAAATTAGTTTGGGGTTGAGTTCCATAGAAGTATTGTGAGACAGATTAACATATTGTTAGTTTTGGTCTTTTCATGGGATTTTAGTTTTATTACAATAATAAAAATATAGAATATAACTAGAATTTATCCTTTAAAGTGAATGTGTTTTTTGAAACATACAGTGCATTTTATTTGGTGTCAGTATAGTAGAGTGCAGACAACACACACTATAAATCATAGGATTATCTATTTATACTGAGTTAAAGTATAATGAACTCCCCACAGCAAAGAAAGAGCGAACCTCTGAGTGAACTGAAGGAAAAAACAAGTAGTTTTCTGACCTGAGGACACCTGCTATATGGTTTTTGTGTTCGTGCTGCTGGTTTAAATCAAAACCTTCTCTGGTGTGAATTTGTAACAGTTACATATATGTCTTTTATTCCCACAAGTACACACAGACATTGACAATACAAAGTCAGATTTACACTTCTATGATTGATGCACTTTGTCTTTCTTTTATGATGATAACGTTGGGGTGTGTTGATACCAGTCTGTGTATAAAATATGTTTTCAAATCTGTGCCGACAAGTCCTTGTTAAAATTTATGATCAGACATTGTTTTGAGCTTTTTATTTATTTACTTGAACCCCCACAGCTCCGTGTAAATGTTGATATCTACCTTTTCATCTTTTTATTGTTCTCATTTTTTACTTCAAAACAAGCCTGTACAGAAATATCCTTTGAAATTAAACCCTTGTGGAGAAGAGATGTGGAATAATGCAGTGGAGCTGGACAGAGAAATGTGTTTAAATAGTCCACTGACATGTGCGACTGACTGATGCTCAAGTAAGTTTTCCTGCAGCAAACAGCAGAGCTCCCTGGCTATAATGTCTCTGCCATAAAACCCTGCTGTTGCTGCTGGCGCACCCAGACGCTGTTGCCAACGGGTCGCTGGCATCGGACGTGGTTTTTAATTTGGAGCTGAACATTGATCATTCCAAACACAGCAGCCTCACGGAATAGATTGGATTAAGTTTTATGGTACTTTTTCTCCCCCAAGAAGATTCCCATTTATCTTCAGTGAACATCTGTGAAGGAAGTTGCAGATCCTCTTCAACATATTATCCATTAAGTGATCAATAACATGCATCTGTGCCGTGTGTGGTAGAATCAAAGAGTTCTTACCTCGATTTAACCAGGAGAGTTGAGTTATTTGTGTGGTGGGGGAACATTGATACACACATTTATACACAATGACACCAAAAAGGAGCTCTGCATGACGCCACTTACTGCAGCATCTGCACTGAAGTACCTTCGAAGTGATATTCTGCTTATGGCCAATTTTCCTATTTTTCCTACTAACCCAGTAAGGGACTTACTGGAAGCCTCTTTCATGTCTCTGCATGCAGTTTGAAGTGAGATTAGTTCAGAATATGACAGTTATTAGATGTTTCATGTAGCGTATAGCAGCTCTGATGTATTTAGATTTATTTACAATGGTTCCTTTATTATATATATATTTTTGGGGCTTTTTTGCCTTTATTTCCTGATAGGACTGCTAAGAGACCGTAAATGTGGGAGAAGGGGGGGGGGGGCATGCAGCAAAGGGCCACGGGTTGGACTCAAACCTGGGCCACTGCAGCTAGGATTCAACCTCCTTACATGGGATGCGCACTCTAGCCACGAGCTAACCGGCACCCCACAATGGCTCATTTTAAAATTTAGAATTAAATTCAGGATTCTTATAATCACTTTTACAGCTCTTCATGGCCAGGCACCTGCCTACATTAGCAAGCTTCCCTATCACTTAGGTCACTAGTGTTGTCTGATCAGGGCTTGTTGGTTGTAGCTCACAGCAGGCTAAAAACGAAAGGCAACTCCTGCTTCAAGATTGTGGCTCCTAAACTTTGGAACTCATGCGAATGCCTTTAAAAGCAGAAAGCTTGCCTTTATTTACTTATTTTATTTTTGTTTGTTACACCAATTAGTCTGTAATATATGCCAAAGTCCCAACATCGCAAATCACATTTCTGCCTGAAAGGGGCTTTGCAATACATTCAGCATACGACCCCTTCTATCCTCAGACCCTCGATTCAATGACTTTTGCTTTTGTCTTTTATTGTGAACTTGGCTCTTTGTGATCTGCTCTAGAAAGCTGCTATATAAATAAACTTTACTTTCTTAATTACTCTGATTGAAGGTAAGGAAATACACATTTTATAGTGCTTCTTATAGTCAAGATGTTATGTGTAGGTACAGTTCATGTCCATATTAATGAGTCACAATTCTGCCTCAGTAAGCCCTGCGGAGTAGAGGTGTTCAGTACATACAATGAATCCTCAAAGTGAACTGATTATACTTATCCATTGTTACTAAAAGAATCAGTAGCAGTGGGTGAGGGTTATTATTTTAAAAGGACTTTATCTACCTCTAGACTGTTTCTTGAACTGCTTTAACATGTTCATTATTATTATTTTATCTTATCCTATCCCAATGAGAATAGCATTACACAGATTTTAAAATGGCAGCAAAGAGAGCAGTGGTATCAGAATTGGTATCAGGAGAAAAGAAGTCATTTCAGTGCATTAGTATTAAGTAGGGTAGCATTTATTATTATTTATGAGAAATAGTTTATTTATCCAATTTGTATAACATCTAATAATGTATAAATGTGTGGACCTGCTGCCCTTCTCCACTTGCTGTGACACTGGGCTGATGTAAACTGGATATAAATCTGGAGTAATTTGTCATTAGAGCTGCCATCCATTTATTGAGAAGTTTACATGTGTATTTTGGCACCTTTGAGCACACAGAAGTGTAGTTATAGGCTTTTTTCTGTTGTCCAAATTCCCCAACTGATGACGAAAACTTGCACTGCCAGGTCAATTTGACTTACAATCGAAAATTGGAATATGTGTTTATTATTTCAACATGTGATATCGGAGAGGATTATAATACAGAGAGCATGCATGGCTCCAGCTCTACTCTGCCAAATACTTAAATTCTTCTCAGGGGAGGAACAGACACAGTGTGACTAACAGCCAAGACCAGTTCTCATTCATGCTAATCATGAAGATGGAACATCTCCAAGGTCTTCAGCTTATCTACCATATAGCCGGAGCCTCCTCACACAAAGTATGCCAAGTGTGAAGGTCCCTGAGGCCCCCTCAGGTTCTTTAACAATGACAATGCATAAATCATACATTTCTTCATATCCAATTATTTTTCTTCCACGCCAACCAAATGGTCCCTTGAACTGAAAGGTGAAGATTGTTGTTCTGTGGTACTTTAATGATGCAGCAGTTGTTGGCTAAGCAGAGAGCCCTTCTCCTAAACCCAAACATTGCATCATGATTTTTGCCTGATAGGATTCAAGACAACCTCCAATTGTGAGCACATGTGTGCTAACATTTTAGTTAGTGCTGCCTCAATGATTTATTTCAGCACTGGAATATGAAATGCACACATATTAAGCATGTAAATAGTTGTTTAGTGTGTGTGTGTGTGTGTGTGTGTGTGTGTGTGTGTGTGTGTGTGTGTGTGTGTGGTCCTAACATCCACTCTAGCATCTTAATGACCTTTCTGGGATTTTTCTGGTCATTTCTCTAATTTTAGGGGGATGGATAAAATATGTAGTAGTTAATTTATGTAGCTCACAAGTCCAAGACTGTTTCTTAAACTGCCCTCCACCTCCTCCTCTCAGTTCTCCACTGTGTCTGATAGAGCAATTTCTCTTCTCTTTGAAGAGATGAGGTGCTCAGGAAATTGCATCTGACCAGAACATAGTGGCAGCAGAGAGGTGTTTCCCCTGGAGAGGTTTAAGGCCTTTATTTCTCTCCTCTCAATTTCCCTTTGTTATCTACATCACCGCACAGCTCCAGAAAACTGGAAAATGCACTTCCTTTGAAGACTGTCTTTGATGCATTGCATTGTTAATCTGTGCATTGTTTCATTGCAAAGTGTCTGATGAATAAGGAAAGATGTATATCCCAACTGACTGTTCTTTGTGAAAGATCAAAAGAAACAAAAAGAGGCTGATAGGAAACTATTTCAGGCCGTCTGTGATAAGAATGCAGTCCTCAACTGAATTGACAAGATCATTTTTTTCCAATAAATAATTCTCTAAGAATGTGGAAAACAAAAGATTGATTGAACTGTAAGATGCCTCGATGGTAGACTTTTCCAATTCATGGCACATATAGAACATTGACAATATCTAGTCATCAGCTAATATTTCCTCCTTTGCTGAAGTAGTGTTCAATAATGTGCCAGTGTGATGAACAGTGGCCCTAAAAAGGGAATTAGATAAGTATTTGTTTGAACTTTTGTTCATATAAGAGATTTTACATTTGAGTAGAATTAAAAACC